ATTCGGAGTACACTTTACTATAATTATTATTTTTCATTTCAAGATTACATTTAATAAAACGAATGAAATAAAATATAATTTCATATTTGACAGTCATAACAAAAATTACGTTAACTATTTCAATAAGCTCATTGTTGCTATTTTTCAATGTGTTTTGTTAACATACTTTGCTATTCTGTAGCAAAATCAACTTCGAATGCGACGTCGAGGCCCGCACTATCACAACAAAAAGATTTAATGAAATAAAACCTTTATTAGCTTCGAAGTAGGGTTTATTCGATTGAACTTCTATGAGGAAACTGTCTTTACTCGATGTTGAGTTCAATACAGTTTTTTTTTGAAGTACAAAAAAGTTATAGTATCCAAAAATTATTTTGGTAATCTTTTATATCCAAAAAATATTTTGATATATTTCAATTACTAAAATTTATTACTACTACTTACCTACATAAACTTATTACTACTTACCTACGTACTTACATGTATTTATATTTACATGTTTTAAGGTACTGTCGCCTAATAACGCCCACTGTTTTCAACCGCTGGAGTCCTAAAAACCTAACTAGCATATATTTTAATAATAGTCCAACACCGATAGATCTTTAAGGACGGTATAATGAAATTTGAAGCTTTAGAAAATTTTTGATCACTTTGGCAGTGAAACAGTGGGCGTTATTAGGCGAGAGTACCTCATGGTATATGGTGATAATAATAACCACGTCATTTTCAGTTATGTCTTGTCACTAATATACTATTGATTGGTTTAAAGTATATATCTATCTTATTTTCTACAAACTTATATATATTATGACATTATGACACTTAAAGAAACATCCTATATATGCATTATGTGAGACTCGACGTGCAATATGCTAAACGTGCAATAAACAGATTGAGTGCGAATCATCGGTACATGGAAAACTTTGCAATTTTATGTTGTACCGTTCTGATATATTAAACTATTGTATTCGTTTTGATATTGCATTAACAGTTAAATAGCATTAAATTAACTATTTTCCTGTTTTCAGCGGTGTGTTATTTGTCATCCACGTATGATATTTGATTTTTATTTAAATTGGTCCAGTAGTTTCGGAATCTATTTAATGCAAACAATTAAATCATACCTCGTTATAGTACAACCGATCAATTCCGCTCAATAAAAAAAGTATTACAAAAATTAATATGAGCTTTCAAATTATAGTTTATTTAAACATAACGGAAAGTAATTAGGCATTTTTGTTACATGGCAATACTTGAATCGCTGCCATTTGTCGGCTATTACAGATTTGATTGAATACGTGACAACATTTAACTTTAACAAAGAAAATTACATCATAATATTTAACGGAGAATCAATTTTAAACTCTATTTTCATAGCTCGAAGCACACGTGATCGAGAATGTCAGTTGGCGAACGGCAAAAATTAAATTTGTCCGGCCCGTCAGATTGATCTCTCAATCAAATACGTGATGAAAGGTAAACGGTAGATTTTTTTCGGTAGTTTAATTAACATTTTCAAATGTTTTTATGTTGATAACGAAAGTGAATTGAGAGAGCAGGTCCGGTTCACAGCCCGTTAGTTTCAATTTGCATTGTTCAACGATAAAATTGGAGTTTTTTTTTGGTCAAATTAGCATAACTACAGTTTTGTTGCTTAATAATTTATGCCATTTAGAATAGTAGCACTTTAAAAGTAGTTTAAATACTAAACATACAATGATTGATTAACTAATAAGCAGACATATTGTTGAGATTTATCACAAATTAAATATTGTTATATTGTATCATTAACATAGTACAATACAGGTATATATGACATTTTATTCTTGACAGTTTTCGCCAACCAGACTACTATCGCGAACTCATAAAATCAATAACTTAACTGGTTTTATACAAAGAAATAAAGTCCAAATAAGTTGTATTAAAAAAAATAAAAAACGGCATCTTCATCTTATGATTCTGCCGCATCAAAAACAAGATCTTTTGTTCTTTTTTCCATAGAAAAGAATAAAATTAAAACCTAATCAAAGTCATTTATCCAATCTAGGCTGTTACAAAGCACTTGTGAAAGTCGAAACACTAAGTCATCGGTTCGTAAGTCTTGTACCGAGAAGAATAGACAAGAAACTCGGCAAGGACTGCTTTATTCTTCCTGTTTTATTTCATACACAGTCAGTTACAAAAACGTACATTAAGGTTTAATGACATGAAATTTGTGCAACTGACTGACAGACACCCAGTTACACAAACGATATTCATTAGAGCTTAAAGGCGTTATTACACCTTAATCGACGTTTGTGCAACAAACCGAGAATCATCAATATTGAAAAATGACTTCATTAAATATCACAAAGTTACTCCTTAAATTCACCAATCTTTTCTATTCCTAATTGTAATTAAAGTCCTTTTTTGGTAGAAAAGAATTATATATATGATATATAGATGGATTTATGCAGCATATTTACAATAATAATCGTAACAGTTTGAGAGTAATAATTAAAAACCGTTTTGGCCGCGCTTTTCGCCATACTTTCTTTGTATATATTATTATTATTCTTCGAGATAGACAGGGAGATATTAAAAAATAAATATATTTAAAACATACTTCTCTAATACGTTTAAACGAGCAAAGAAAACGGCTCCAAGAATTTTCATAAAACTATTTAGTTATATTTCACTTACAATAAAGAACCGAACTCCGTCATCCAGGTACTTATTAAGTAGCTTATGCAGAAATGTGTCTGATTTACGAAAGATATTTTTTTTTCTTTAAGCTTGCTCTCTCGGAAATAATCGAACCACACATATCTGTTACAGGTTAACGCCATAAATTTTCTAAAAAAAAAAACAAACTTATTACGATGATGAGTTTCATTCTTATTTTAAACTCGTTAAAAATCAGCAACGGTGTAACGGTGTTCCGTACCACCGATTATTTCATCCTAGGTTTCCGCATGCAAACTTTTTGTCTTTGATATTCAACATTATTTCTTTTTAATATTCACCTTTAGTAATTTGAAATTTTGACTAATCAAATATGCTCTTTATGAATGTCAGTTCGTAAAAAATTGATCTGGTGTGAACATATTATTTTAAACCGTATACATTTAAATATAAATATTACAATAATGAAGATATGTGATTAAAATAGAAATTATAAATTATAGCCTGTAATGGCGTCCAAGTTTTTATTAAGAAACCCAAAAAGGGGTTACAATTTAGTGATCATGATTTCCAAACCTATGGTCTTTGGTCAACTGGATGTGATCCGATACTACTAATTTATTTTGTTTATTTGTCTGTCAGATAGATGGTTAAAAAATATAAACACGTGTTCTTTTTTATTTTTTTTCATAATCGTCACATCTTTGTACATTTGCTACATAGTTGTGTCGTAGCGAGTCCTTTAATGCCGATAATCTAAGCCATTTCTTTCTAATTAATTACTTTTATTATTATTATAAAGTTTTTCTAAATACAATGATAATAATGATTATGTTTGCTTCTATCACTTAGGTACATACTTTAGTCGCGCTGTATTCAGCTGCAATCGAATTAACATTTAATTTCAAAGCGTTAAAGCTGCCAAAGTTGAGGACACTAGGTGTCGCTGAAGCCGTGCACATAGCCAATAAGAATAAATAAGAACATCAATTAAGCTCCATCCGTCTATAATTGTATCGAGTTTAAATTCGATACAAATCGATTCGATTAAATTCAACCACCAACCGCCCGTTCCAACTATTAATCCTATCATCTAACATTAACATTCTGCACTTTTGACATAATATTTTATTAAATTATAATATATTACTACACCCTTATATATACAACTCCGAATTCTTGGACTTGGATTTGTTTAGTAAAACTATCTTTTTCAAATCACAAACTATAAAGAATTTTATTTGAGTCTTTTGTAATTCACACATTCTCTTCCTTCTTATTTATTAATACGAGTTTTTTAATAAATAATAGTGTACACTTAATATACCTACAACTATAAGCATTGTTTGTAGCAAATTATGGATACTATTTGTCTTTTTAAGCTTAATAAAATGTCATGTTCCTTTATTGTAAAGACTATTTATACCAAAATAAATAGAGAAAATATTTTTTTTACGAAAAATATATTTAAATAATAAATAAGTTTTTACTTAATGCCAATGATAAACTTACAGATGAGTAAGTGTGTTCAAGCTGACTTTCACACAATTTCGCGTTGGTCATACTAAGTTGCTGATGTTCCAAAATTACATAATCCCTCTTTTACGTAACTTTGCCTAAAGTCAACATCGAAGGGAATAATTTCACACCAAGTACCTAATTAAAAGATTCATTAATCTGCCGTTTTTTTTACACTCCGTCATTTCAAAGAAATAAATTAGTGCAATATATCTACCCAATTACATTTATATCGACTTTGTAATATAAAAGTGACTAAGTACCTAAATTTTCAACGGGATCTCTAATAAATTAGTTACCAAATTGCTTTAAAACAAAAATAAATAAAAATACTTAATCGGTTTTAGAGTTGTATATTGATAAGATAGTGTTGGTAATTCTGTTTTTTATTATTATAGGACGACCGACATCTCAGTCTAGCGAATTTGTAAAAGAACCGAAACGTTTGAATAATGATCAAAAATACACCCAAAAGAAGTGAAAATATAATAAACAAGGATAAAGTTTCGTCCCAAAATATACTACCTATACAAATTGACCAGATATTACTTAGGCATATTTGTAGGAATAAATACTTATAGTTTATAGGGAATATAAATAAACCTTTTCAATGGACAAAACTTCCTATGTAAAAATTTATTAATAAATTAATGAACGTTTATTTTGAAATCCTATATCTTTTTATTTAATAACTTTCGATAGCATATAAAACTCAATTCAATGTTTTTTGTTTAATTATTACATTAAATTTTTTGTCCTTTTAACGATATAGTATAATTAATACCTATTTTTAAAGAGACTTTAATTTATAAACTCACCGGAATCACTATCATCTCTGTCATAATGCGGCCTCCAGTACTGCTCGTCGTACCGCAACGGCACTTCAGACCGGCCGGTGAATTTATTAGGGTCTAATATGTTTTCTACGGAAAAGGCAATTGCTGGCCTCTCCGGCGGCCTCGTGAGGCCTAGCCGTCTAGTCAAGTCCACCGGCGCGGCCTCCTCGACCCCTACCACGTCCACTTCGTTCGCTTCAGCTTCCGCCTCGGCTTCTACTTCGGCATCGCCATCTTCACGCCTCTCCTCGGACCCTCGCGCCATCGCAAGCATCGTCATAGCAACGTCTATTTCATAAAATGCCTCTTCGCGAACATTTAGAAATGTCTAATGTTTTTCTCACATCGATCGTCACTTGTCACTTATCTTTTAAGACATTGAACAATAATAAAAGTCTTCAAGTCTACAATCTTATAATGTTCCCTTTTCAAAAATAATTCACTCATTAAAAGTCACTTAATAAGTCCACTCGAAAAAGTTTTAATATCTGACATTGTTTTTTTAATAAAAAAAAAATTGAATTTAGAAAAGGTTTGGCGCGTGAATTCTTCTAGTCAAGTCTGAACACTATCACTGCACGTGTCGTCGGTAGCGTCCCTCCGTTCGGGCACAAACAATCCGTGTTGATTCAGTGAACCTTGTGCACACTGTAATCCGTACGAGGCGTCCGTCTCCTCCCAATTTTCGATCATCACAACACGCCAGCGGGCCAACAGGCGGGGCGGAAAAGGAGGGCGGTTAGACAGGGAGGGAGAAACTAGCCACCGGATTGGCGGCCAGGAGCGAGGCGTGTCTTGGGTGGAGAAACGTAATCGAGCAATAAGGTTTAAACAATTTCGTTTAATACGTTGAATTATGTAAGAGCGCGGCGGGCAAGTAATCGCGCACAAGCGATAAGGCCATTTGCGCTACTTCGTTACGTATTAATGGTGCAGGAAATTGACTTATGAATATTAGAGGTCGGCCGAGCCGAAGATCGGGCCAAAGCGGCCCCTGGCGGCACCCGCACGGTTATTTTCCTAGTTAAGCGCTGGAACAATGATGTTTATTGAGTTTTGAATTTAATGGGTTTCGGGCGCGGCTTCCAACGGTTTAAGCTATTAACGTATTTGTTGGGACCCGGCTTACGTTACGTGGAAACGTTTCAAAGCACAGTTTTAAAAATATTTTAGTTTATGATTCATTGTTTTAAATTCGAATGAATGAAAATTGAGTCCGTTTTTCGTTATACAAAATTTTTTGGTTTACGTTTTGCTAGTGCTTTATTAATCGTTGATAGAGGTTATCGTTGACATCAAATGCCCTTTAAATAATCATCTAAATGTTTTACTTATGATTTATTTTTTTTCATTTCCCTACCCCTCTATACTATAGGCTTTATGCCATAAACTATACCTTATATTTAATCTACTGTACGAATTTGGTTGAGTTTTAGCACCCATTCCTAAGTTTAATAAATATTACGGGCTCAGTATTTTTATCAGACTATAACAGCCAGTTGCGCAAACGTTCATTAAATTTTAATGACGCCTTTAAGCTCTAATGAATGTTAAAATTTGTAGGGCTAATATCGCTTTAAACTAATGACAACTTTAATAGACGTTTGTGCAACTGGCTGTTTAGCAGAAAAAAGTGGCCATCTTCCAAGAAATTACCATCTCATTAAAAAGTCATCTGGAAAATAAATTGTTCTTGGAGATTTCATTTTAGATACTTTTATTCGTAATCGTTATATAATCGAAATTATATAAATACCTACTTATTAGTAGTACACTTCGCCCTAAAACACTGGGCGAAGTGTTACTTTGTGTCTCATATGCGTTTCGACGTGACTCATTTTGTATATAAAACGATTACTAAAGTTATCACTTGGTTAACCATTGGCCGCCTAATGCAAATTGACAATAACAGAAGAGACTTAAAATTGAGACGTGTCGACTTATTTTGGTCGAATAATGCTTTAAACCTGATAATAAAGTTAGTCCTCGTTTTATAATAAGACGGAAATAGGTTTTCTGTTAACCTTATAGACCTTATAGACCTGTAAGACTGATCGATAATTGATATTATTTTATAAGTGATGTAGATAAATGAATTTTATAAAATACATAGATAAATTTATCTGCCAAAAGGTAAATGCTTTAAATGATGTATATTTTAAAAGTATTTTTACGCAACTAGCTGTTTTCCCGAGGCTATGTTTTACCTATGTTACCCGCGTATGATGTAGTTAAACAATTTTTAAAATTCAAGCGTTCAGTAGTTTCGGAGACTAGGTTGTTCGGCTGTTTTCCCGAGGCTTCACTCTCGTAAATATGTATAACCTATGTTACTCGTGTATGGTGTAGTTGCACGTAAATGGAACAATTTTTAAAATTCAAATGTTCAGTACTAATTTGTTCGAAAACAAATCACTCTTCTATAAAATGTAAGTATAAAAAAAACAAAATGTCAAATTCGATTTTTAATAAATACACAGGTAATTTAGGTGCCGGGTAAGAGCAGTTCTCACAATGAAATTGCTCATCGTACAAATCTCACCGAGTCACAAATGTTACGGTACGTTAGCTGCATTCCACTGACGTTTAACGATCCGTTACAAGTTCACAGTTTTTCAGGCTGCACCGGCGGAATTTCATGACTCATGAAACAACTTCTAAATTCTCCCTTAATGAGCATTCGCCTCATTAATTATGTTTGAATTAATTGTGTTTCGGCTTTGAGACCTTTTTAAAGGCGACAGGAATAATCTTCTTAGTTTAATAGAAGAATTAGGAAAGAAGAATGATTTTAAATATTTATATTAGACTTCCCTTTTTTACTGATTTAAATTGTTGCATTACGGTACAGACTACCTACAGTGGTTAAGTATATTTAATTTGCGGCGGGTTCAATTTTTCAGGCAATCTTTTTTTACTTAATTTCGTGATAGTTCTTATACTATTTTGAGGAAAAGGTGAAAACTAATTACTATATTTTGAGTTCGTGTGTCTCGACAATAAATTTTTGACATATGGTAAAAACCTTCGATTATGCATGGGTAAATATTTTTTTTTATGATGGGTGACCAAAAATTTATTAAATCGAGCTCATCCAAACGAGCCAAATGATAATGTCACACAGAAACAAAAAATAAAAGAAACTTGTCTACAATTGTTAAATTTTGTCGCCCATTCTTCTCCATGATTAGTATCAGAAAAGAAGATAAACTTGATAAAAACAGTATATTAGATACTACCTATGGTACCATACTTTATTATGGATATTTTTACTTTGACTTAGGCAGTTTAATTAGAGACGATTTTTTTTAATTGGTGGTTAAAATACGGTTTATGTTAAAGTTAAAATCTTGCCTAAGCATTATCGTTTAGGCAAGATTTTAACTTTAACAATGTGGAAATCGATATTTAAATGATAGAGCAAAGAGCAATCAGTGATCGGATGTCGTCGCTGTAAAATGAATTTAATTGTCCACTCGATCGATTTTTTTATCAACACGCCGACTACGGTAACTACGGACTTGGTTACATTTTCTTGAATAATTTTATTCATAATGATAATATTGTTACATAATCTTTTCTTGCATAGTTAACGTCCAATTTTTAACTCAATCAAAATATAATGTAATTTTATCCAACCAAGAAACAAGTAACTATAGTAACCTAGCATAACGCCCGCGGCTTCGCGCGCCGAAATCCTTTAGGTAATCCTTTAAAATTATCCTATGAATTATATACCAAATTTCTATAAAATTGGTTGAGTAAATAGAGTTAATTTCGCATTTATAATATTAATTATGGAGTATTATAGATTGAATCGAATGTTATTGTTGCATAGTTTTTAGTTTATGATAATATTTTTCTTTTTAACTCGTTTAATGGATTAACGTTTTTATGAAATAATGTCTAACTATCTTCTTTTTGTTGATTTTAATTTTTTTGTTTTTACAATAAAATTAAAAGCAACAAAAAGAAGATTTTAGCGTGATCTCATAAGTAATAGTGTTGTCCTGATTAATAATTTCATTTAGTTTTTTGTCAATCACATCTCTATCTCCACGCCATATCTTTTACGGGTTAGCTAAAAGAGGACCGATTCAGTTCAATTATAATCAACTGTAATTTTCTATGAGTTTGTCAATAAATAAGTCACCAGTTACCATTAGAGTGCTCGCTAGATCGACAGTAAATTTCATATCAATAATTATATGAACGAGAAGAACATTTCATAATTATCATATTCCACTTCCCTCAGTATTGAACTTGGAAAAGCAATTAAATCTCCAAATAACCTTTCCAAATACCTATTATATCTTTGAGATTGGACATGAAAATTTGAGAACCATCATTAATAGCGAATTTTGCCGAATAGTTCGCCTTCTCAGTTCTTATTAACCCGACGAAATCCATTGTTATTTTATTAAAATGTTGAGTTCCTTTAATTTGCCTATATTTACATATTTAAACGATCACGATAAAATTATTAAATTTTACCGATACCTTGTATTTCGTTATTTCAAATACAAATACAACATTTCTTGAATTGAGAATATTTTTGAATTGAAATGGTATATCAATTTGAAATTATCTCCAGTGACAATACAATCTAAACAGAACTTAACAGATACTTCAGAAGCCTTACTTGTTTCTCTGGCTGATTCCCTTTGGTTGAGTTTGAATTACGAAGAATTTGTGCGAGACAGTATTATTTGCACACCTTTTTGACACCTCTTTAGTGTTTAAAGTTAAGACGGGTAATTATTGTTTTAACGATGTAAATGATGCTCTCGACAATGTTCTACAGTACAGTGGTTTGATAATATCTATTTAAAGCTCAATTCAAATAAAACGAACCGCATAAAGTTTGCATTACCTAATGTGAGGCATATACACTTATAAATGTAAATAGTGAAAAAGTTGAGTTGGTAGAATCGACTATGTTCCTTGGTATAACACTAGATTCCCGACTGCAATGGGATCCACATATTGATAACTTGTCAAGTAGACTAAGTTCTGCAGTTTTTGCTGTTAAGAAAATTAGACTCTTGACAAATGTCGAAACGGCAAGATTGGATAATTTAGTTATTTTCATAGTGTAATGACGTATGGTCTATTGTTGTGGGGTTCTGCGGCTAGCATTTAAGATATTTTTATTCTACAAAAGAGAGCTGTCCGGGCTATAAGTATATAGTTTACGGTCCAGGGAATATCTCAAAGAAATATTTAAAGAAATAAATATTTTGACAGTTGCCTCTCAATACATCTATGAAAATATTATGTACGCAAGAAAACATTAGGGTTCCTTCACAAAAATAAAGTATTGTTCATGATCTTAACACAAGAAATAAAAATGAACTTGCCGTTCCAAGCTTCAGACTTCAAAAAATCAGAGGATCATTTCTGAGTTAAATGCATTGCTATATTCAATTAAGTTCCACAAAATGTAATTGACCTACTCGTAAATAAATTTAAAATTCATGTTAAGAACATACTTATGAGTAAAGGCTATTATAAAGTTGATGATTATTTAAAGGACCGCAATGCATGGAATTAATATCCGTCGCTTTGTTCTATAACGACTAATTATATGTCGTACAGACTTTGAAAATTGTATTTATTATTGTTATAATACGTACTATTATGGTAATGACATGATTTATGTAAATGTAATTACTTAAGATAAAGAGCTGGTGAGT